TCAAAGAGTGGTGAGGCACTGGCACAGGTTGCCCAGAGAAACTGTGGATGCCCCATCCCTGGAAGTGTTCAAGGCCAGGCTGGATGGGGCTTACAGCAATCTGATCTTGAGGGAGGTGTCCTTGCCCATGGCAGGAGCATTGGAACCAGATGGTCTTTAAGGTCCCTTCCAACCCAAACCATTCCATGATTCATTCCACAACATCTCAGCAGCTGAGATCTATAGTACAAAATCTCTCAGAACTTCTGGCTCACAAGTTGCACAGCTTCTGTTAGTTATTTTTTTGATCCACCTGGAGTCATACGTTTCTTTTTTTTTTTTTAAACTTTCATTTATAATATTGTATTTATTTACATCCTTCCAAAAAACACTGGACAAAGAGTCAGCACACATGAGAATGACTCCATAGCTGATTCCAGTACATTTCAGTCCAAAGGACTGCTTCTGCGCTCTGTATGAAAAATGGGTTGTTGTGAAGTTCACTTTTATGGTGTCAGAATCTCTGTATGTTTGGGCTTAGAATTTCTCTATTGTATTTTCTCATCTGCAAATGAAGATGACAATTTTCTTTACCTGGCAGAAAAATTATGAGGTATTTAAGGACAGATGTATTTAAATACAATCTTACTGCACAGAGAGTGGACAGATACCATGAGGAACAAATAAAAAAGCTTTCTGCATTCAGATAACATGATTGTTAAAACATGAACAGAACAAAGTAAGTTGGTAGACCACTGAATAGTCCTTGGTACACAGCTATTTAATTCTTTGGTCTCTACTAAGATTACTAAGTGAAAGAGGAATGGAGTGAAGGAGCTGTGATTTAGTCGGGCCACTCATGGTGGATCTCTTTTGCTCCACACAGACCAAAGGCCAGATCTCAAATGTGCTCTGACCTAGGCAGGCTGTGGACTGGTAGGAAAGGTTATATGTCCCCATGTCAACGACCTAAATAATTTATGTTTCATGTCCTTTTGTCTCAAATATCTAGTGACAACATATCTGTGACAATTAACTCCTCTTTGGAAACTGAAACCTCAGCTGAGGCATGTCAGCCCCATGGCTACTCTGATCTGCAATCTCGTTAGGTAGACAATGGTATTGAAAAGAAATCTGAATTCCTCTGAAAATACTCTTTATATTCTTCTGACAGGAATGTACAGCAGAACTTCAGAAAAGTGTTATTTCGTTCCCACTTACTTAATAATGAATAACTTCATTCCCACATATGAAGATGAATTGAAAACAGCAGATCAACCCAAAGTAGAAAAAAATCAGATTTACCAACTCTAGAGGCAGACGAGGGCTGAGAAATTAAATTGCTGCTGAGCAAACAGTATATATAATATAGCAAGTAAAAGGTATTAAAATCTGAAGTAGTGTGAAGAACACATACCTACCAAATGATTTAAATCATATTTTGTACTTGAAGAGTTGCAAGAAAACCAGTATTATAGGTCTATGAAGAAATAACTTCTAATAAGTGTTCTTGATTATTTACATGACCACATTGTTATACATATTGTAATAGCAATATTACATATGACAAACATCCTTACTTACAGCCAGGAAGTGTTTGTGTAGAAATCCAAGGTGAAGAACTGCCATAACCAACATTCGTACTGGCAGCAACTGCAAATCTGTACCATCTGTATTTTTTTAGTCCATACACAGTCTCTTCTATCTTGTCATCCATCACGTTTTCATATAAATATTGATGCATCTCATATTCAATACATCCCTTAATTTCCCAGTCGCTGCAGTGGATGGACTGTAGCTGTGTGGTAATCTTGTAGTTTTGAAAGTAGCCAAAGATAGATTTTGGTGATCTCCAGTTCAAGGTCACACTTGTTGATTGCACATTGGAAAAAACAATATCCCTGGGAGCACTAGGAACTACAAATTAAAACACATGTAAGATATACAACAGGGACAGGGGAGGTTTAGGCTGGATGTTAGGAAAAGTTTCTCTACCGAGAGTGTAGTCTGGAACAGGATTGCCAGATAAATGGTCATGGCACCGAGCTGCTGGAGTTCAAGTAGTGCTTGGACAAGGCTCTCAGACATCGGGTCTGATTTTTGGTGGTCCTGTGTAGAGCCAGGAGTTGGACTCAGTGATCCTTGTGGTTTTCTTCCAACTCAGAATATTCTATGATTATATGATATCTTCATTTGAATGATTTTTTATTTTTTTTTTCAACTATAACCCTTTTAACCAGTGTTTTTAAAATATTTTAATAAGCACATCTGGTGAACCAGATTCAAGTTCCTATAGTTAATAAGGAGCAATTCCATTGGTGTAACCTACACCAAACATATATAGATGGGAAACGTGTACTATAGCTTTTGAAAAAGGCAAATACTTTTAAATGTGGCATGCAAGGCAAGCTTTGAGAGGTGTGACATTGCTGTTACTACATTTGGGGTTATGTCTCAACTTGTGGAGGGAGCATCAAGCGAAGTTATTTTTGACCTACGCACAGCATCTTACTGCTCTTGCTAACTGAGATTCCTCACCTCTCACTTAGAAATACTCATTTATAACCCTCTCTCTTTGTAACACATGAAGTCCTCAAACAACACCTCCAGGTTTCATTTTGAGTCCTATTTCACCTTCTGAATGAAAAGTATCAATACATACATAATGTAGGTGTTTTGCAAACTGTTCAGTAAACTAAAAATAAAAAATAAAAAAATATATTTTTGTTAAAAAAAAGCAGGAACAATTAAATAACACGGCAATACAAGGCAAAAACCAAACTAACTTGCACATAAAGTTTGCTTCCATGTATTTAAATGCATATGTATACATGGGTATGCACAGATTTATATTCATGTGCATGGAGACAGAAGTAGGGTATAGATACACACACACACATTTATCCATATCTATATTAAGACAACAGTGTACTCTCAGCTCTTGCAGACTGGATGCAACATATGGTTTTGTGCTATATCAAATAGTCATACAGTAAGCTAATATTATCTCTAAGACCCTCTGTAAGATAATACTAATACTCTATGGCAAAAACTGTGCAGAGAAATCAGCTCAGAAATCATTTTGCACACTTAGCTTTAAAGAGTGCTTTAGCCTTTTGGGAGGAAGAAGTATCTCTGGTAAAAGAAAACACATGATATATCCTCAAACTGAAACTGAAGAAGCCCCAAGGCTTACATAAAGAATAAAAGGATCCAAAGCCCATGTTACTGGGGAAGAAAGAGAAAAGTTTTTTTTTTTTTTTTTTTTTTTTTTTTTTTTTTTTTTTTTTTCAGCCTTATGGTAATGTCTGACCTCAGCTTCCATCCGCAACAATTTGTTCATAAAACATCATCATAATGTAACAAGCTGAAGCCTTGTCACTAAATGTGAATATTTAACAAGAAAGAGATGTAGATTCAGAGTCAAACCAAGCTCTAACAATGAAAAAGTTGAGAAATCCAAACCCCTTCAAATGAGCCCAAAGAAGGTGGAGCCTACAGGACAGAGGGCAGACACAGTAGCTGTGGGGACTTCCTCTGTCACAGTGCATAGTAGCCCCAGACGCTCCCAGCCTACTGAGCAGCCTACTAAGTAGACACAGACCAATAGCTAACTGTCAAAAAAAGTCTCTGTCACTTCCAACTTTCATCATAATACTCCATAATATCAAAATCAAAATTGTTTTGCTCTGTTGTTATTACCATGTAGAGAAGCAAAGTACAGGAAGTAGTAAATAAAACCAGGTAGAAACCTTTTTGCTTAATCACAATTTTGGAGAGGCAATATTCAATTTATTCACTTTGGAAGAGACATAAGCACTGCAATATTTTCTTAATAGTTCTATAAACTATATTTGCTACTTATACAAATTACATGGAAAGGTTTAGTTTATCCACTAGTTGTTGGAAGATAAAGGCACAGAAATGTTCAATAATTTTTATGAAAATTTTGTATCCTTCTTTAAAAAATCATGTACTCTATTAGAATATAGGCTGTTAATATCTGTTCAGATACTGCAGAGAATATTAATTGTACACACTCCATTATGACGGCAATAAAATTTGATATAGAATGGATGAAGTCATTTGACTGAAATAAAAGTTATCACCAAGTCTTACCCTGAACTTGAATTAAAATATATTTAAGACCCAATGCTATACATTCCAGGAAGTGAAAAATCAAGAGTCAGATATTCAAAGACATCAGATCAGATCCAAACTAAGATAATTGAAGAAAATTTCATCCTCCTCCTCAGTCAGAAGAGATTACTCTTTTTTTTTTTTTTTTTTTTTTTTTTTTTTTTTTTAAGGAATATGACCTAATCATCCTGGGCACATGACTAGGAGCTTCTGTTTTGATGGGAACACCCATCATTGGATGACTTGGAATAAAAATGTGAAAGGAAACAACATGGAGATCAAAACAACTGGCCCTAATACCTCTTAGTCTACCACCATTAACTTCCATCTGCTGAAAACTGATTATTGAACAAGACTCCCATTTAAATGGAAGACAGGATTAAATACTGAAAAAAACACCCTGCATGGAGCTTAAAGCTTTCTGCCTGGGGATAGGAAAAATGATTCAATATATTCTGATGCCTCTTCACCACAAGATTTTAAGCAGAGCAGGTTTTAAAGAGCAACATAGATCTTACCATAATCAAGGATTCTGGTAGAAAAGCAGAACCACAAGTGTCTGTCTGAATATAATAAAGGGAAAACTTACAAACAGGGGTTTGGGATAAAGTACATAACAACTGCTTAATTGCTGAGTGCCAAAAGGAAGGTGGAAATATATACCCATTACCAATGTACAGCTGGTAAATCCACGTCTGGCACAACTACAGTCTCTGTGCATCTAAAACTAGACAGGTTGAAGATGTGAGTTGCTGGTAGAAGTCATGTGCTAGCCAGCATGGTGGGCTTTCCTTCTCAAGGAGAGTATCCTGGTCTCCCAGTTTCAACAGGGTTGATGCTATTTTGAAGACCTGAGAGCTAACAATGCTGTAGTAAAGGCAGAAAAGATGCTTGGCTGTTTAATAGAACTACAAATTGTTTCAGGAAAAATAACAGTGGCTGTGATTTGTGGGTTCTCACACACCACTATGGTCTAATAATGCCAGCCTCTTCAAGCTCTCCATGTACCTGGTGGGAAGAGACAAACTCCCATAGAGCAGGGGAAAGAAGGGAGGGAAGAAAAACTGTTTATCTTTCCATCTGTTACCTAGAGAAGGGTTCTTTTTCCCACTGACTACAGGGGGAGCCCATAAAAACTACTCTCACAAGGCTGGAGATAATCTCTGTGATTATCCCAGTGAGTAATACTACAGCAAACCCACCATTTTGAAAGATAAAATTGCAGGTATAAACACAACAGATATATTAGACAGAGACAACTTACATACAAAATCATTTATTTCTATTTTATGTCATCCCCTTTTTTTTTTTTTTTTTTATTTTCCAGTTTATTAAGACACATATTTGCAAACTATTTCTAAATATTTCTACAAAAAACCTACTCAGTATACTCAGTAGAAGACACAGGAAAGTTTTCTGTGTCAGCACCTAGACAGATCTTTAAAATGGAATCAGAGCCTTAAAATCAGCTTAAAATCTAGTTCATTTTATCTCATTTCTTGAATAGAAAAATGAACTGTAAATGTGTTTTTTGTTAGAGCAAATGAAAAGCTGAGATCTGAATCTGGAGTAAATCTCAAGGGTGCTGAGAGGGCCACAGCGAGGAGCAGTGACACCCAGTGGCGCAGTCTCTCTTGCACTTGATGACTGTGTTCTACGAGACAATTTCAAGACAACTATGCTATTGGGTTACAGATACAAAGAGGATTACAATTACTCCAGCATGGAGAATCAGATTTCCATTCCTCAAGAATGACTAAAATTCCCCCAACTTCTTCTCTCCACAGATGGTACTGATTTGAACAAACCATTCCATGCTTCCTAGAGTAATCATGCAGCTTGTTTAAATTTTCTAAACATGACTCAACTATGATGAAGTGATCACTGTTCACACTAAAAGCATCTGAAGCCAAAAATTGTATCTGTGAATTATTCTTTCAGATTAAATTGGAACTGTAACAAAGACTTATCTATCTGCTCAAAGATACTCCTACTTTGTTATGAGCCTAAAAGAAACTATTATTCTTCCTGACTTCCAGAAAAGTGCATTTAAAGAAAAAAAACAACTTGAAAAGATGTGCTTGGGGTTGTCTAGGTCACAAATTGTCCATATCTGTATCCTGATTACTTTGTGGGAATTCTAGTGCTAATCGCATATTTAAATTCCCTGTGAATCACGGGTAGGATCCCTTAAGTTCATCATCATTCAACCAAGAGTCTTTCCCTATCCACTTATATTGCATTTGCTCTAATTCATTTACCTTTGGGTGTGAGGAGGTTTTCAAAGTCTGTAATTTTTGGTGCAATGTACTCTATAGTTTTCAATTTAATAGCTTTTAATTCAGCTTCTGAAAGCCAGCCAGGATGCAGGCAGAGAGGCTGGCTGTGAAATGCTGGTAATTCCGTTTCTGGACAGGAGGAGGAACGAGGTGTTTTCAGGTTCATCCACCATTGTTCACATGATGGCCAAACTCCAAGGAAAAGTGCCTGGAGCCAGATCTACATGGGATTTTAAACTCCTAAAACCTATTTACGTGCCTGAACTCCTACTGAAGTTGACAGGAAGTTAAGCACCTAAATAGAAGTTACTTTCACAGATCTTGGCCCCGTTTCCCTATGCTCGTCTGGCTGCAATGCTAATCAGCCCTTCCAAAGTTGGCAGACTGCTCTGAGATTAACTTTTTATTTGAGAACCTAAATGAAAGGAAATTCCTGGTAGAAAGGGCACCTGATTGCACAAAAACTCAGATAAAGTTGAACTGGGCCAGTGGAACTAGTTTAAAGCAACAGAAACACTTGGTAGAAAAAATCTTATTTGCATTGCAAAGATAACCTAAGGGCAGCAAAGGACACACAAAAAAATCTACTGAGAAAAGCGAGCAGTTATGGCTTTCCATAAAGACTTCTGTGGAAAGCAATGACTACAGCTGCGCGGGCCGGGAACAGAAGACAGTAATATGATATGGCATAGTTCCTAACGAAGCTAATAAAAAAACTCTGCCTACAGAACAGCTGCTTGTAGCTGGAGTTTGGATTAAAAGAACAGCGGCAGCCTAGAAGTCTGTTGGGTGGTATTAAGAGCATCAACATGAGGAAAGTGAAGAACAAAGTAGAACAGAGAGCAGTGGGCACACAATGAAATAATCTTCAGAAAATTGAGGTATTGGAAAAGCAGATTAATATTCCATATTGCTTATCTCTATTAATTTTTGAAAGCTTTGTTACCCCAAGGAGTTTCCTGAGTTAAGCTGATATCCCTAATGATACTAAATACTACTCTAGTATGGACTGCTAACTCCTTGTGAGATAAGGTCCTGCTTGGTATGAACAAGGACATTGAAAATAGGTCCCAGATGATTTTACTAACATAAAAATGTAAAAAACTGTAGACTATTTTTCCCATGACTTGGGACTGATACTATCAGACATGCTTTAAAGGAAATTGCACAGTTGAGAACATGTATTTAAAAAGCCTCCTTGAACTAGATCTCTGAGTCCCTAGCACATTAGAAAATTCAATATCTAACTGTGGGGTCTAAGGAATGAAAGACCAAGTCTTACATATCTAAGGATAAATGCACACCTCAAAGCTAAGCTTAGAAAAGTAGTGAATAACTATCAGTATTCTTGAGTCTTAAATTAAATAAAGAATGCCCAGCTTACCAACAAAGTGGACTACTGTTTACTTTTCAGTAAACAACATATTTGACCTCAAAATGCTTTCAACATCAGCTTTGTATGTATATCTTCCCACCATTTTTTTTATGTTCTGAGTTGACCTAGTCCTTACAAAAAAAGTTCCTTCACCCTACGCTATATGATTTTTCTATTCTTATCCAACTTCTTATAAAAATAACATCAATGCAATTTCATTGGCAGCCACCAACTGATTGTTTCATTTGTCTAGAGAAGACCTGACATCAACATCAAAGCCATTAACTTACATTTGGACATATCAACTAATGAGAAAATCTAAAAAAAGCTCCACGCTATTAAGAAAGTAAAGTCTGGAAAAGAAAGCAGTTCCAGTCATCTTGGAAAGAAGTGTTTCGAAGATTCTTAGTCATGATTCACCCCTTGTTTTTGTGATGCTTCTGCTTTAATACATATTGGAAATGTGAGTTGATTTGAACATGTGAAACATACTTATCTGTAGTAGTGATATAGAACAAAGTTCTTCCATTTTCCATACTGAGACTCTACAACAAGTGATTCCTCTGGATAACCAGGCCAAAACACTGCACTTCCACATCATGCTTGGGACCCTCAGGACTGCTTTAAAGTACTAAATTAAATGATTTTTTCAGTGCATTAGGGACATCTGTAGTTCTTTTTACAAGCTAATGAAGAAATTAATGCAACCCCAACTCCTAGAGCTGCCATGTTCTATGAAAAGAATATATGGTGGTAGAAACAGACCATTTCTTTGGGTATGAAGAAGGTTTTAAGCCCATGCTACATTTTGCGTTCCTCACAAGCCTAAATGAGAAAGCTGACCACATTTTCTAGTAAGCATTTCCAACTCAGAGGTACAAAACCGGAATATTTATAGGTTCACTTATTCAGAGACTTATTAGAGAATAAACATGTTTTAGCACAAGTAACAACAGATTATGTTAACTTGCCAGCTCCACATCAGATGACCTAAGAAACTTTCCTATTAACAATCCTTTTAGGCACTCCTCTTTTTCATCCACAAAGCATACTTCTGTGTACAGCTGCAATTTAACATAGGCCAGCAAAATTAAGCTCAGATTAAATTAAAAAATGTCTCTTGGACAATTTCCTAGCAATATTTCATTTAAATGGAAGTTATGAATGAATCTCTGTTTAGCAGAAAACAAATAGTAAGGACTGTAACCATAGTACAATGTGGTCCTCAACCTGTTCCAAGATTCTGTGTTCAGTTATAATATTAAGTAGGACCAGTAGTAATGAAAGAAAAAGTACTCTGCACATGTTAATTGTATGCTCAACATGGTTAATATTTCCAGAGAATAATAATAAGTACAAGAAAAATCTAAATTTAAAAAAATTGACAGCAGCTGCAGTTTTCTTTTGGTTGTTTATACTTCAACCCCCAAGTGGCTTTTTAGTTCTTTTATTTTTCTTCTTAACTGAATGGCAATTACACTAGCCCCAGACTAGTGTAATTCTGAGCTACCTGAAGCTGCACAGCTTTACTAAGTCTTTCTGAGAACTATCCTACTAATTTATAGATCTTTTTCCCTTCTAAAAATTCAACCCTAATGAAATTTAATTTTAATGTATGCATTTTCTTGAAAATAATCCAAGGGTAGCTATTCAGTCATAATATTCCAAATCATTTTTTCATGTGTGCTTGCTATATTGTCTTTCATATATCGCATAGTATTTTTAAACACAAAGTAGTATTACCACTACAAAGTTGACAGTTTTTGTAACATACTGCAGCCTGGCAGAAGTGGTTTACCATGACAATGGAGCTAGATTAGACACAAAACACTACTAATCTCCTCATAAATTTAATCTTCATGATTCAAGTTTAATTTTACCCATTTATGAACAAGATTACCTAAAAAAAAAAAAAAAAAAAAAAAAAAAAAGTCAAATAATCTTGGTAAGAATGTAAAGGTCAAACACTATGCAGTGAGACACTGAGCCAAATTCGATTTCACTTTATGTCAGAAATAAATGCATTGTCAGTGACTCAGTGCTGGCTACATATTCTGTGACTAATCTTAGACCACCATAAATAAGAAGCTGACAACAGCTATAAAACTGTTTCCATTCCCAACCATGAATCTCCAGTTCCTAGTATCCAGTCACCAGAAAACAATTCATGCAAACACACAGTAAAGGAAATGTCCTAATAATAACTAGTTTGCTGTAAATATGACTAAGCAACAACCTGTAAGCCAAATACTAAAACAGCAAGAAAGAGTTTGTGCAGTGTATGTACCAAAAAAAGGAAAAAAAAAAAAGTGTTGTAGTATAAACCCTTCACTCAGACAACTCTTAGTGATAAGATACATCAGCCACGTGTTGTTAGAAAATAAGACTGTTTTTGTTTTATTTTCTCCTGCTAGTACAACTCTACATAATGTAGACCACAACAGGCTAGTAGTTTGTCTTTCAAGCTCATGGCTAATACCACATCCACAGGTTTTTTCCAGGCTTTCCTCAAGCACTAATTAACATCCAACCCCAAATTCCTCAGAAATTGCATCAGCTTTCACAGGTGCCAGGCTTCTTTGACACTAGCAGCAGCCTTTCTCTGCCTTCCATGAAGTAGGCAACCCAGGAAGCCTCCTGTTCTCATCTGTACCAGAGGGAAAATGTCTCCTATAAACCTGTCTCCAAAACTTTCTGGTTTTGGATGAGTCCAGTTTTAATCAGTCATTGGCTTGCTAGTCTGGGCACCCATCCTCAGTTTCAGTCTTACTGTAGCTCTGAGTCAGGACTGATTTTTCACCATCTAAAGGGTGGAGAGTTACAACTGCAACTCAGAAGTGTTCTTAGGTGCATGCTCACATACATCCATGTTCAGCACAGCAGTTAACCTCAGTACATATTTCCAGCCACTGCTGTAAGATATAAGCATGGTTATCTCTAATATTTAAAAATGCTTCCTTCAAAAGAGGATTTTGAACCCTGTCAATGGACAGAAGTTTCTGAACCAACAAGTGGAAAGATGACCCAGATAGAGTTCATAAATCTCCAATAAGACAGAAAGGATGGGACTCATTGTATTCTAAAAAAGGAGAAAGAGGAAGGCCTGTTTCTTCCCTTCCACTATTAGAATCAAGTTTAGAAAAAAAAAAAAAAAGAAAAAAAAAAGGAGGATTTACCTGCCTGTAGTGAAGCAGGTATTTTGGGTCTGCTTGCCTCTTGGTTATCATTTAAATTAAACAAAAGAATTAGCTTTAGTAATTTGTTACCTCTTTCTGGAAGTGTACTGGCATTGCATATCTGTTCTTCACCATCACCAGCAGATGTTGCAGCTTTTATTTTAAAATGGTAAGAAATATTAGAAAGCAGATTTCTAAAAATATGCAGCGTATCATAAGATGAAAAATTTGTAGAACTTCCTTCAACAGTTATGATGTAATGAGTAATCACACCGTTGGATGAAGCAGGAGGGTCCCATTGCACTAGGATCGATTGCCAACTCATTGCAATACAGCGAACATTCTGGACAACATCTGGGACTTAAAAGATACACATACACTAGAGGTTAATACTCAGACACAATTTAAATTGTACTCACAGAACAATATAATTGGAGAAGCAGCCATAATATCAAAGACAGGGTTAAACATTCCAGAGGCAAACAAATAGGTATTGTAATAGAAATGTGTTGAAAAAACAAAAATATGTCTTTGTTCTTATTATATGGTTCATTTCTGAATAGCATGAACATGAGTGATGCAAGTACTTGGCATAGAAGAGGCCATCTATCTGTCTTTTTCCTTGTTGTGTACTCCAGTTTTGTTTTCTCATCTTATATTTCCCTACGTTTTTGTAATCAAAATGTAGTAGAACATACACAGTAGTGTGAAACTCATACACTCCACAATAGCATCAACAGCAGAAATTTCTTTTTGTCTCTTAGCTCTGTTTCTTTTAGACACTGAATCATCTCTCACTGTCCTTTCAGCTGAGGCATGACCTGCACATAAGTCACTATGCAGGCTTTAGAGCTTCCGTTATCAAAGCTATTACCCAATGCTCCCCACCTCCTTGCTGGTTCTAGTAGGAGAAATTTTTAATGCTTATAAAAATTTAATAAAAGGTATCAAATATTAAACTCATGCTTAAAATAGAACATTTACATGTGAACAATTGATTAAATAGAACAATGTATTGTATCTCAGAAAAGGCTAAATTGCTGGCTGTACCAGCTAAGAAAAAGTGAATACATAATCTGGGGTGGCCCTGCTTATCTCCTCTACTGAAACACGTCCAGGAATCCATAAAATAGTGAAAGGACTGTTACTGAGGAAACAGATATAAAGGGAAACATGTTAACTATCACTGCACAAAGGTAGATGAATCTCTTTAAAACTATTGTCTTTTCCCTTTGAAGAATAGTCTTTTCACAAAATCTGAGAAAAAGATTAAAAATGGCTAGACCACACTTCCATGGGCAATGTCTCTCCAGCACTCCTGAAGAAAGTACCAGGGGAATGGATTGTCAGTGATGGAATGAGACAACTGAGGGGTGACTGTGGCTCTTAGGTAGCACAGACTCCAGCTGCAGGGATCCAACAGCCAACATGAACCAGTTTAGTGATGGTCCAGATTTTTCATGGTGTTCTAAAAGCTGACTACAATAAACAGCATTTTTTCTTTTTCCAAAACTGATGTTTTGTCAACTCTGGAAATAATATTTCACTGGAAGTGTGATCTTGAAAAATCGTAGTCACCATTTGGAACCTTTTGATATTTCCTCTACTTCCTCTGCTATCAGTGTAAAGGAACTTGGGAGATCAGACATGGCCCCCTATGACATGACCCAGTCCTCCAGTTTTGACAGCACTTGTACAGTAGAACAGCATGGCACATGACAAAATTCCATGTAATTAATTAACTAAATCAGTTACATCGCACAGCCCTCTCCAGTTGTAAGGAAGAAAAAGATGTAACAAATTATGTGTTTAATTAGAGAATTGTTACCCTTCCTAAAATAAATAACCAAAAATTGTAAAAAATTATATGTTTAATAGATTTTCCAGTTCATTTGCCAATCTTTTGTCCAGTTGCTTTTAGTACTGCTAAAGTTTCAGTTATTTCCACAGGGATCTGAACTATTGCTTTGATCTGCAAAGTCTGATATCTATCTAATTTTCCTCCCTTTATCTGTGATGCTATTAAAAGATTTATAGTAGCTATATAAGCTTCTCATTTCAGATGAGGACATTTCTAATTCTACACTTCCAACATCAAACTTCAAGCCCAGTCTACCCAGTACAATAGGAATGGGAATTGGTGTTACAGAAGCAGAAGACAATGAGATAGTGTTACGTTACACTTTATTTGGAGAGAAGAGGAAGGCTGCTGTTCAGTAATACAAGGAAAATCCACACAAACAAAACTGCAGCTCACAAAATGTTACATCTAACCTGATTCCATCGTTGTAAATTGGACAGCATTGCTGAACTGATTGCCGTTCCCAAGTCTGGTAAATGCAGATACACTGATAAGGTAAGTGCTGAATGGTTCTAATCCAACAAGGTTTGCCTCATTGTCTGAACCTGAAACATTCTTAAAGAGGAAAAAATATTAGTACATGATTAATCTTTGTGAACATTGTTGGCCTCACCTTGAACATGCTGAAACAAAGAGATTTAGAGCTAGAATCTTGCTATAGTTTTGCTACAGGTTATTTAGAGCTATAGTCTTTCCTCTTCTACTCTCAGTAGCTTTCAGTCAGACAAAGTAGTCCCTGAGCTCAACTAAAAGGAATGCAGGGTCAAATTCTTCCTTCCCTTTCTCCTCTCCCTCTTTCAATGTAGCTTGTGAGGAAGATATGCCAAAGGATGGTATCGTAATTACATAGCACTTTTAGAACAGATTAACTCCATGTATGTCTTTCTTTTTTCTTTTTTTCTTCTTTTTTTTTTTTTTTCACCAATACTGAGAACTCTTGTTACCTCTGCTCCACCTTATCAACCCCCTCTCACCCTCTACTTCTTCTACTTTCTTACTACATGTCTTCAACGAAAAAGGTCATGGGTCATAGCTCAATATTTCCCTCACTTTACCTGAGTCAGACACACAGACTGATGAAGAGCTAAAACCCAAAGTTTGGTTCCTCATAGCAATTTTTCAGAGAATCACAGAATCACAGAATGGTTAAGGTTGGAAGGGACCTCCGGAGGTCATCTGGTCCAATCCCCCTGCTCAAGCAGAGCCACCTACAGCAGGTTGTCCATGCCATGTCTTTTTGAAGCTCTCCAAGGAAGGAGATACCTCTCTGGGCAGCCTGTGCCAGTGCTCCGTCACCTGCACAGTGAAGACATGCTTCCTAATGTTTAGACGGAACCTCCTGTGTTCCCGTTTGTGCCCATTGCTGCTTGTCCTTGCACTGGGCACCACTGATAAGAGCCTGGTTCTGTCCTTTTTGCACCCTCCCTTCTGGTACTTATACACATTGACAATATCCCCTGTGAGGCTCCTCCACGCTGAGTCCCAGCTCTCTCATCCTCTCTTCATAGGAGAAATGCTCCAGTCCCTTTGTCATCTTGGTGGCCCTCTGCTGGACTTTTTCCAGTAAGTCCAATTCTCCCTTGTACTGGGGAACCCAGAGCTGAACACAACACTCCAGGTGTGGCCTCACCAGTTCCAAACAGACAAGAAGGATCACCTCCCTCAACCTGCTGGCAATACTTTTGGCCACTGTTAGGTTATTTTGCAGCAAGGGTACACTGCTGACTCATGTAAAACTTGGTGTCTGCCGGGACTCCTAAGTCCTTTCCTGTAATGCTCCTTTGCAAGTGGGTGGTCCCCAGAATGTCCTGGTGCCTAGAGTTGTTCCTCTCCAGGTGCAGGACTCTGCACTTCTCCTTGTTGAACTTCATGAGACTCTTGTCAGGCCACCTCT